GGTTATTTAGTAACCAGAAGAGTTTTAGCAAAAATGCTGACTTCTTTTGTATTTGGCGCCATTCACCCCTGGAAGGCTGAGGGGTTCTCCAAATTGGAATTTGGCCCTTGGGCTGAGAGGTTCAACACCCCGGCTTCCTGCTTCTGCTCATTTAAAAACTGGTGTGGTTGTTTGTATATGCCCTTATTGAAGGACCTGGATGTCTCTGCATCTTGGAAGAGACTGACATGGGAAATGAGGCAGCAGCCAAAGTGACCAGACTTTTCAGGAGGGCAGAACTCCTGCAGCTTTTAAGTAATGCCAAAGAGGGGATTCCTCTGTGTGTGTGTGTGTGTTGAAGAGGGAGTCTTTCCCTTGGCTCACTGGCCCTCTATTATGCCCAGTTGTCTCCTTTGCCTCACATCTCCTGTACACTGTGCATAGATGTTCATATAAGAGGAGCAACTGGTGTGATTAATGCATGGAGTCAAGGAAGATATTAGAGAAGAAAGCTTCCCTCGAGAAATAGAAGGCTTGCCCAGGTAAGAAAAACAAAAGGCATCACAAGCTTGCACAGGTGAGATGCAGACAATAATAGAAGGAAAGAAACAGTTTGGGGAGCATATTGGTAACATCAAGGCTAACAATAAAGAATGTTTTAACTTTATCAGAAGAAAGAAACCAGCTAGAGAAGCAGCTGGACCATTGAATGTCAATGGAATTAAAGGAGCACCATAGGAGATTGCAAAGAAGCTGGATGGTCTGGTTTGGTCTGGTCTGGTTTGGTTTGGTTTGTCCCCACAGTAGAGGATGCAGAACACATACCTGTTTCTGAACATCTGTATTCTAGAAAGGAGTCTGAGGAATCAAGACAGATCACAGTGACCAAAGATGAAATATTGACAAATTGAAAGTCAGTAAATCATCTGGCCCAGATGCTATCCATCCTAGAATTCTATAAGAACCGAAATATGGAAATGCAGACCTTCTTACCAAAATATTTAATGTGTCCCTAAAATCAGGTCTCGTACCAGAGAACTGGAGAATGACCAATGTAACACCAATTTTTAAAAGGGGATCTAGGGAATTACAGCGCAGTTGCTTAATGTGGGTTTTGGATAAGTTGCTTTAAAGTATTATTAAAGATAGAATCAGTAAGCAAATGCTGAGAACAATTCCACATGGCTTCTACAAGGGTAAATCCTATCTTACTCAGCTATTAGAGTTCTTTGAAAAGGTCAGTGAGCCCATGGCCGGGGCAATAAGTAGACATTGTTTACTTGGATTTCCACAAGGTTTTTGACAAATTCCCTCACCCCATTCCTGAGCAAACTTAGCAGTCATTAAATAAAAGGGGAAGGGGCTCTTATGGATCAGGAATGGGTTAAAGAACAGAAGATAGAGCATGGGAATAGATGGTAATTTCTCCAAGTGGAGGGATGTAACCGTTGGTGTCCCACAGCCTTCTATATTAGGATCAAAGATTTTCATGCTATTAATAAATGATCCAGAATTAGGAGTAAGTAGCAAAGAGGCTAATTTAACAATGACCCCAAGCTATTCAGGGTGGTTAAAACCAATGGAGGGATTGTAAGGACCTTTAAAGGGGTCTCTCCAAACTGGGAGGACGGGCCTCACAATGGCAAATGCAGGTCAGTGTAAGCAAGTGTAAGGTAATGCCTTTAGGGACAAAAAAAAAATCCTGACTTCAAGCATATGCTGATGAGATCTGAGCAGTGCCTGGTCAGGAAAGGGATCTTAGGTGCTGGTGGACAGTTCAGTGAAAATGTCGGTCCAGTGTGCAGCTGCTGTGAAAAAGGCAGACTCCACGCTGGGCATAATTAGGAATGGAACAGAAAATAGAACTAAGATCATGCTCCCTGTATACAAATCCTTGGTGTGCCACAGTTTTGGTTGCCTTACCTGAAGAAGGACATTATTGAGTTGGAAAAAAGTGCAAAGAGGGGCAACTAAAATGATCAAGGGGATGGAGCAGCTCCCCTATGAGGAATGGCAACAAGAGTTAGAACTGTTTAGCATAGAAAAAGGGCAAGTAAGGGGAGATATGACAGAGTTGTTTAAAATTATGCACGGTGTGGAGAAAGTGGAGGAGATATTTTTCTGCCTCTCCCATAATGCTAGAAGCCAGGCCATCCCATGAAGCTGATTGGTGGGAAGTTAAGGACAGAAAAACAGAAGTCCTTCTTCACACAACATATAGTTCAACTGTGGAATGCACTGTCACAGGAAGTGATGAGGGCGATCAATTTGGGTAGCTTTAGAAGGGGATTGGGCAGAGTCATGGAGGAGGGAGCTATCAGTGGCTGCTAGCCTTGATGGCAGTGAGCTGTCTCCTTTACCGGTGGCCGCATGCCTTCGTCGCTGAAGGACTTGGGCAGGCAGAGGTCTTCTCCCCATCCTGCTTGAGGCATCCCTTGCACTGCTGGGTTGCCACTGTGTGTACAGAACGCCGGACTGGTCTGAGGTAGCATGGCTTTTCTTCTGTTCTGCTGTTCTTAAAGTAATGGCATAATGGTGGATGTTTGGAAAGAGAGCAATGGCTGAATTAAATGTGACCCCTGTTAGTGACTGTTAGTGAGTCCAGGTGCTGCCAAGATTGAGGCAAGAGGAGCTTTCCTCCTCCAGGCTTGTCCTGAAGTGGTTTTCCTTCTTGGGGAAAGAACGGTGCTGTTACTTATTAATATCTTTGTGCCTTGCGGTTTTAAGAGTTTCCACCTGGCTGCTTCTCCTCTATTCCTTCCCTAAGTGTGGTTCGCCAGTTCATTACAGACGCTTTTAGTTGGAAGCCGGCTCCCACTACATTGTCACCTGAGCGGAAAAAGCCTGAAAGTAGGTCATTGCGCTCGGCTGAGTAGATCCCTGGCCCACAACAGCGCAGCTGCTTCCTGCCTCTCCCAAATCCTCGCGCTAGGAGGCCTCAATGCCCCAGTGAGTCCTGTTCTAGGCGCCTTACGGCGGAGGAGTACCAGTGGGATGCAGGCCCTCATCAGCCGGGGAGGCGGTTGCTTCTGGTTTTGTTACCTGTGGCCAGAAAGAGCAGGAAGAAATAAGGACCGTTGAAGTTGAAATGACATTGATCTCATGGGCTCTTGATTCCTTTCCCCCTTCATAATAGTAGCATCAAGGGAGGGGGTCGAAGCTGCCCTGGGACTCAGTGTTATCCAGGTTTCTTGAGTGCAGAGAGCTAAAGGGCAGCTAAGTCGAATCCTTGCTGCTTTCACCTCTCCATGTGGCTGTGCCTTCTTCAGCCACAAAGTTCTCTCTGTTGCGTGGGAGCCAGGAGCAGCTCAGCGAGATGCTTCTGTATCTTGCACTATCAAACTCGATTGGCTAATGGATAATTGAATCAATGTTTTAAGAAGCTACACAGCAAAGTGAAGTTGGGCTGGACCAGTCCCCTGGCAAAGTGTGGAACAGCCAGTACCATTCTTTGGGAAAATTAAGAAGCCCTCTTGAGAAACTCTTAGGCCCATTAGACATTTGGGGACAGTCATTGAACAAAGCCTTGGCAGGACAAGTCTGATGTCCTGCTGATCAAAATTATGAGATCTACAGTTCCCATTTTGTTGGCAAGGCTTCAAACTTTAATGGTGTCTAAGTGCAAAGAAGCAGAGTGCCCTAAAGGACTTGATTTCTCTGCCTGCCTGCTGCCTGCCTGCCTTTTTTTTTCAATTTAAGATCCCCAGAGGTGACTTCCACTGTGAACCTGGTATTGATTAATCAGGATTTTTTCAGCAGTTATCAAAGCTAAGTATTTAGCAGTGAGAAGCCTTGATGGGACCCCTTGGGAAGAAGAAATGCATGTGCTAGTAAAATAAAAATAAAAAACAGAAAGGAGGGAGGCAAAGGGGGAAGGAACGGTTCTTTGGTGTACCTTCTCCCTCTGCAAACAACCTCTGATCTCGCACTTGGAGTGGGAAAAAAAAAGAGTGACTTGGGAAAGCAGTCACACTGATGCCTCCCACCCTTTTATGCTTCAGTTCAGTTTCAGCAGCTCCTTTGGCACAGAAAGGTCTCTGTGGCTAGAGACAGATGATCAGTTGTCATTTCCCCCCCAGAGAGTTAACCATGGTTTGAAAGAGGGGAGCACACTCATGTTGCTTCCATTTATGGGAAATGGTTTATGTAGGGTTTTATATTTGATGAAAGTTGATGGTGGGGAAAAGCAGCAGGTCTGCAAGTTTGGGCTGGCCTGGCTGCTGAAGCTAAAACTATCAAGTACCCCCACCCCAGTCTGGGAAACGTCTTGCCCTGTGGGCTGTCCTCACAGAGGGTGGGGAGCTTGCCTGGTTGGCTCAGTGGAGCTGAAGAGCAGAGTAGGAGGGAGGAGTTTCCTGGTTCAGCCCTGCAGAGCTGCCCGCCAACCATAGGATGATGCCACTCTTGCTATGGGGCGTTCAGGCTGCAGGATTTGTCGAAGCCGGTGCAAAATAAGTGATGTGCACATGCCATTGGAAGCAAAATAGGGCCGCTGTTTATGCATCATGTGAAAAAGAGGAAATGCTTCACCAGAAAAGGGGACGAAGGGGGATAGAGCATGAAGTGTGCATGTGCTAATTTCAATATATCAATGCAAACCTAGAAGTCATTAGTTTACTGTAAATAGCAGTACAGTCCCATCATGGGGAAGGCTGACCTGGTGACCTGTGGGCCAAATGCAGTCAGGGGGCAGCTTCAGGGGCCCTACTCTCATCTTTAGAGGACAGCCCATCAAATAGAGGGTGCCTTCAAACAAAGAACAGTCCTTTGGCAGCCCTCCACACAGAAGAATATGCTTTGTCAAAGAGGAACCAGGCCACCCTAGGATGCCTCTCCTCACCAGTTTCCCCTCTCTTAAAAACTACTTTTGCCTGCCTTCCAGGCATCCTAGAGATCTGTTCCTTGAGGACCTTTGGTTACACAGCCCTCTGGTATTGGGGTCCACGCCTACAGTGACACAGCAGCATTTGTACTCAAACTCAGGGTGGATTCTGAAGCTGTTCCTTTCCCTGTTTCCTTAGCTGTGTGGTAGATGAAATGGACTTCTCTGGCATGGAGCTTGATGAAGCTTTGCGGAAATTTCAAGCCCACATCCGGGTGCAGGGAGAGGCCCAGAAAGTGGAACGGCTGATCGAAGCGTTCAGGTAAGAGCTGAGCCAAGGCATGAGAAATATGAGATTTGAAAACTGGAAGGGAGAAAGGGATGGAGTGAGAGAAGTGCAGAGATGGGCGCCAAGAGGCAGAAACCTCACCTTGAGTTCCTTGCAAGGGGGCAGGAGGAGGGAAAGCAAGATGCTGTTGTTATCACATGTGTGTAATTAAAACAAGATATGGTTAGATTTATATTACTGCATTTATGAAATAATATATAAATGTAATAATAAATAAAAGCTAACAGTGCACAACAGATGTCTTTCAGGCTGCCAGTGACCTTCATCAGAGGGAAGGTGTATATTTAGAAGGCACATTCTCTCCTGATGCTTCCGTTGCAAAGACGGTGCTTTCTAAATATGTTCAGCTCCACAAGCAAAGGAGTGAGACTGTGCCCTTTGCAGCAGGCTTGGAAAAGCCTGCCCTCTGCCCTGTGTGTGTGTGTGTGTGTGTGTGTGTGTGTGTGAGGGGGTGAAGCTGCTGCAGTGGGTCTCTGTGGGCACCGCTGTAGTGTAGAAGACCACTTTCTGCACCACATACAGACTGTTGTCACACAAAATACCTTTTAATAGGAAATGCCCATGGCTGTAAGTCCACCTATGAAGCATCCATGCTAAAGGCAGCTGGTTGCCTCAGTGAGGAAATTACGGGGGGGGGGGTGCATGGGATGTGCGCCAATAGATCCCTGTACATGTTTCCTCATATTCACCTGAAAAGGAACACCTGCATTCTTATTGGCTAGAAAAGCAGGGGCCCCATCTTTCCTTGTTGCACTGACAGAATAGATACAGCGCCTCTTTCTCCTGTTCTCAGGCAAAAGAAAATTGACACTGTAGCCAGTCCTTACGATGCTGTAGCCAGTCCTCACCTGTTTTTTCTTCGCAATATCTGTGGGACAATTACTTGTTCGGCACACGTTAGGCAAGGTGTGCTTTTGTTAGTTTTTTGTTTAAGTTCTCACATGTTTGTATGAATTCAGATCAATAATTAAGACGGCACAGCTATACACTGAGGTGGGGATGTGGCAGCTCACAGACCAGTTTGAAAAGTTTTCTGTAAACAATCCATTCAGACCTCTTGCAAGAGCAATTTATCTGCCTGTCTGGCTCCCTGCTGGTTAGGGAGGAAGGAAGGGGTGAGGAGAGAGAAGGTGTTAGAAAGAGAAAAATGTGTGGCAGTGGGAGGGGGGAGAGGGGGAGAGGGAAGGGGTGGCGGAAAGAAGGGGAGAAGAGGGGTGTGCCCACGTACCTCTGGCTTTGGACACACCCTGCAGACAGCATGTGACCCGCAACAAATTTCCCCTAAGGAAATGCAACCCCACTGAGATGAACCTCAAGGAAGTGTGGCTCCCAACAGATGATTCCCAAGGAAATGTGGAACAGGTTCCCCACACCTGCTATATCGGCTTACCTTGGAATAAACCCCATTGACTTCCATCCAGGTTATGTCTGAGTAGACAAAGGCAGGGTTGCACTGTAGGTTACAGCTTCCCTACAGATAAACCCTGATGCTGGAGATCTGCTTGCACGTGATTAAGTAGTTCTGCGAAGAAATGGCAGGGTTCCAGAGGCTGCGCTTGGCCAGGTTGTCACGGGACAATCATCCTGTGCACCAAGAAGACTCTGGTGTGAGTCTTCAGTTCGGGCAAATGCAGATGAGACATTCTCCCATGAAAGCTGTCTTTCAGATGTTTGAAATTCTGATAATGGACCAGTTGCTGTAGATAGACATCCTATCAGAGAAGAACCAATCAGTGTGAGACAAGCTGGAACTGGCTAAGCTTATCACAGGTTACCTGGTCTTTTGAATCCACACAAAGTGAGCGATACGTTCATTTATTCTGAGACACAGCTTGCGGATTTGTACAACTTTGTTATAATCATTGCTAGGTAGAGAGTAAACACTTTTAGCATCTCCAGAGAGGTCTATATGCATATTAGTGACTAAGGAGCCTTTGATTTCCATTGACATGTATTGACTTTGTCTCCCTCTTTCTGCAGCCAGCGGTATTGCATGTGTAACCCAGATGTGGTCCAACAGTTCCATAACCCAGACACCATCTTCATACTGGCTTTTGCCATCATCCTGCTCAATACAGATATGTATAGTCCTAACATCAAACCCGACAGGAAGATGATGCTGGAGGATTTCATACGAAACCTGAGGGGTAAGAATACTGCTTGGATGAGCCACTCTTCCTTGTTATTTGAAATCCTGCATTAACTAGACTTCTAGTGAAGTAGAGTTCAAGCCAAGGTTGTGTGGAGTTGACATTGGGATAGCTAAAATTTGTGTGTCTTGCGGGAAAGAAGGTAGGATTTCTACTTCTCCTAGAGAGAGAGGGAAAGAAGGCCAACAGCTTTTGCCCATTTACCTTATAGATATATTTACATTTGAAATTGCCTGCTAGTGAATTATGACACTGAAAAGAAATGTATAGTTTGTGGTCAAATTATGTGACAGATTTTAGTTGTACTTCTAAACCATGTGATGCTTATTTGACCGAAGTGCCCAGTGGGCGGGAAATAATATACCCTTACAGAAGACGACTACTATATCTTTACTTTTTTCATGTCCTTAAGAACAATATGCTGCAAAACATCCTGAAAGTTCAGGTATATACCTAGCCTGTTCTTTGCTGTTTGTGCTCCACAGGTGTGGATGATGGTGCTGATATTCCCCGGGACTTGGTGGTGGGAATTTATGAGAGGATCCAGCAGAGAGAGCTCAAATCCAATGAAGATCACGTGACCTATGTCACCAAAGTGGAAAAATCCATTGTTGGGATGAAAACGGTGAGCCTTTATACAGCACTGCAGGGTGTCTGCCTGACAGGGATGATTTCTCACTTGCAGTCATAAATTTTCTGCAGTTGATTTTTCCTTAGGAAGTAACCTCATACCAGAGTGGTTGGTAATTTAGCCCAGTATTGTCTAATCTGACTGACAGAAGCTCAGCAAGTTCTCGGGAAGAGCGAGGTTCAGCTGCTGCACAGCCCCTCTAGCTTGAGGTGCCAGGGACTGACCTGCAGATTTCATTTCCCTTCCCTCTCCTTCCCAACGTAATATGCCCATCTCATCAGCTCTTTCCTTTTATCTTTCCCTAAACCCAGGTGTAATTATTTTTACTTCATTTGGCAATTCTTAAAAATGTATTTGCCCTTTAGATTTTTCCCGGCAGCAGAGGCTTCTGCAAAGCATACCTGCCTTCAGCCTTGGAAACTTCAGTTGCAAAGCAGGGAAATTCTTCAAGGCCCATCTGTGAGCACAGCAGTTACATTAGGAAATTAGTTCCCTAATCCTGACCCCATCTGCAATTAAGCCCCAAGGAAAAGGCTGCATCTGCACATATTAGTTCCCTTTCCCCCTTCCCTCTGTCTTTCCCCCCACTCCTGTCCCTCTGCTTTTCTTCCATTTAATTGGGCTATAAGTTCTCTGAAGCGGGAACCAGGTATTGGTATTACATTGTTTTGCAAAGTGCAGAGTGTATGATGTAGCTGTATAAATCATTCCCTCTAGTAGCTAACACAGGTAGTGAGTTTGGGAAGAATTACTGTCCATCTGGCCACTGAAAAGCAAAGGGAGGGAATCATCCTGCCCAGAGGAACAGCAGCGCGTACAGAAGTACAAAATAGACTTGACAACTCATGAACATGATGTGGCAGTTCCCCCTAAACAGCTCAGTGAGAATTGAGCATGTGTGAGAACCTATCCTGAGACTTTTATGTATAGAATGAGTATAAAAGTTTTAAACAAACAAACAAACAAACAAACAAACAAACAAACAAACCATGGAATGTATAGTGGTTGTTGGAAAATAAAAATGGAAAACCTGTAGGACAAGGAAGAAGGAAAGAAATGGCATGCTTGGAGGAGCACTCCTTGGAGAATGAGGATACGTTCCGACATTTTAGAAACAGAAACTGAGCAAGTCAGAAGGTGTCTCCTGGGTCATCTAGTCTGACCCCCTGCTCCAGCTGGCTCCACTCATGACATGCCTACCATGTGCACGTCTAGCCTATCCTTGGACACCCTCACCAATGGGGCTTCAACCACTTCCCATGAAAGCCCATTCCATACCCTCGGGGTCCTAACTGTCAGGAAGTACCTTTGTGGCTGGGCTCAGTTGTAATAATAAACACATGCTTTTCATTCCCCATTTCTTGCTGTCACAGGGTTTAGAAACTGCCCCACTGAACACACCTAGGAGCTTTTGCAGTCAGGCCCACATCCCATGGTTTGTGGTGGTGCAGGTTCCTAAGCCTTCTGCTTCTGCGCCCATCAGGCAGGGTGAGGAGATGCACAGCAGAGGAAAGCCCTGAAATGAAGGAGCCCTGCCAGCCGTAACTGTGATCTGGGACACTTGGTGGCATGGTCACTTTTTCCATGGCCAGTGAGACTGTGCAGCTTCATCCATGCGTAATGGTTCTGGGAAGGTAGACAAGGCAGGGGACCATTCCTCCTCAGTCTCTCTGCCTTCCAGGTCCTCTCTGTGCCGCATCGCCGGCTGGTCTGTTGTAGCCGCCTTTACGAAGTGACCGACGTGAACAAAGTGCAGAAGCAAGCCGCTCACCAGAGGGAGGTTTTTCTCTTCAATGACTTGCTGGTGGTGAGTGGTCTTTGGCCTGGAGAGTCACAGCGCTGCAGGAGACTTCGCACCATCATTTGGAAAGAGCACATGGTGCAGCTCCCTTAGGGCTGTGCCATGCTGGCTTTCAGGTGGGGCTGCTTATACAGCTCCCTGTACATAGAAAGCTAGCACACCAGGGAGAAGGCTCCACCGAGCTGAGCTCCTTTCTCTCCGTGATGTGGTAGTGTTCCATGGGCTGGAGGTTGTTGGGGGGCGTTTGCTCAGGGGAGCATTCCATCACGAAATTCCCCATTTGCATCATTGTCTGAATTCCCCATCTGCTACAATCCAGGATGACTATCCCACCTGTTTCTTTTGTTTTGTTTTTCTTTTGTTTTGAATATGTAGACCAGTGCTTAAAGTCAACTAGTACAGTGACCTGCCATGACTCAAAGAGTTCTTTGCTCCAAAAAGGTAAATACATAAATAAAAAGAATAACACAAGGAAAACCATACACGGAAAATAATAATAATAAAAGAAAACGCCTAGTCACAATAAGACACCAGAAATAACATGGGCATACAACGGTTCATTTGCTGTCCTCTGAGATAACAGGGTCTTATCTAGATCCAATTAGGGAAGGAACTGAGTGGTGGACAACTTGTGCCATCCAGATATTTGCCTTAACACTAACCAGCATATTGAATTAATGTGTTCATATCTTGCCAGTTTTCCTCATGGGAGGAGCCCAAGGCAATGTACACAATCTTTTCCACACTATCTTGTTAGGCTGAGAGTCAGCAATTGGCTCAAAGTCACTCGCGGACTTCATGGCCAGGTAGCAACTGGAACCCAGGTCCCCCCAGTCACAGCCAACTCTTGAGCCACTCCAGCACACTAGCTGTGTCAAGGTGAAGGGTACTGGAAGTTGTAGGCCAAACATTTCAAGAGCCGCAAGTCGCTCTCCCCGGTCTAAAACATTGTGACTGAAAAGGGCCTGTCTCATGTGGAGGTTTTATTCAATCCCTTTTGACTGCATTATGTGAATCGTCAGGTGGCTGCCATTCGGGTGTCCACCCACAGAAAGACTTGGCTTTTGTGCAAATGAGTTCACAAGCATTTGTGCAAATGTGCTCAGCCACAAATTCCTATTCCCAAACATGCACAAATCCCTCCACCATGCACATATTCACCCTTTAGTCTATGGAGCAAATGTGCATTTTCAACAGCTCTTTTATTCTTCATATTTTTCTACAACTAAATTTGCATGAAGGTATGGAAATTTTAAAAAATGCCCCATAAGTCCATGGAATCTGTGTGAGTCAGGAAAACCTGGCCCACTTAGGAATCCACAGGCCAGATTAATCGAAATCTGAACTCCTTTGAATTCACTGTAGCCCTAGTCTCATGTAAACATCTACTGCAGATCAATCAAGTGGGGGAACACGGAACAAAGTCTCTGAGGAAGAGCTTAGTGGGTGATTCAGTTTCTATGAGAAAATGACACTCCTTGAAGTATCCTGGTCTCAGATCCATTTAGGATGTTAAAAGTTTACAACCAGCACTTCACAAAGAGTTCAGAAACCTATTGGGAGCCAACTGCAGTGATACATTTGATTGGAGTGACTCACTTAGTCCAGGTCCAGGAGAAGTGGGAGTTCTATGATCGTTTTCTCCAATCAGCCTCTCACAAAAGTGGCATTAAGGATGAGAAAATTACACACTGACACACTTTTTCCGTGGCCTTCATTGCCTTCTAGCAATACAAGGGCTGAAAGGTGACAGGCTATAAAATGTTGTTGATAATAGTCCCTGGATTAGTGACTGTAAAGGCTGGTTAATGCTTCTTAATCGACATGGAAGCACTCCCAGGTTTTATAATGCAAGATGAGAAATGGCTGTTCACAGATAAGGCGGACATCAACTCTGGTACTGCGGCTGGGAAAATTCATCCTTGATGGGCTCTATGATGGTTTGGTTCACACATCATTTCAGCCACACACATTTTTTGCAGATGCTTGCATTTGGGAGGAAAATTCTTATGTGTTATTACCACTCCATTAACAAGCATTTAAGAGTACGATGCAAACTGCAGAGGAATTTAGAATTACACTTGGAAAAAGGTTAGGGTTAGGGTTAATCTCTCTTAATGCTGTCCTCTGATGGGACATAATATACCTGAATGAGTTTCTCAATAATATACCTGCCAGCTGTCCAAAAAAGCAGACATTTCCATGGAAACAAAGGGCAGGTTTTATCCATCAGACATGAGCAAAAGTGTGGATTCACACTCTGAAAATGCAGTTTTGTCTGCCTGGTGATGGAGAAGTCACCACAGACTGAAAATGCTTTGTCATTTGAATCCACCCTGCTCAGGTTCACAGAGCTTAATGAAACTAAAAGAAATACATATGTGAAATTGACACAGGCAATTTGACAGGAGTCTTGTGGGGGGAGTGGCTGGTGGAAAGTACTCTCTACAGTCGAGTTCTCATTAAACACTCTACATTATTTGTATATGTAACCAGTCTTAAGATTTTGAAACTGCACTGTTTCTTTGGGAACTAGCTATTCAAATTAGCTATTACATGAAAGTATGGTGCACACAATGCAGCTTGGGACAATGACAGAGAGGTAAGGGGGCTTTTAAGCCTTTGCCCCTGCTTGGTCCGGATACAGATTCCTCTCCACCACCATGCCTATGTTTTACATTGGAAGGAAAGCTTCCACTGGCACTTCTCCCAGTTCAAATAGCAGGTGCTGAGTGGAGTGGTTTGATCTGGATTGGGACCATGGCAGGGGGAAACGGCTATGGTTCTCCCATCCCCTGGCTGGGGCCCAATCCAGATTAGGTTTCCTATATTTGCTGTATACTTTAAAAAACCCACATGTGCAGACAAATTGCATGACGTACTAATCCTGCCCAGTCTGGCCCTGTGAAGACAATATTGCTGCTCTGGAGCAGCAGCATTTCAACCCTGGTTCAAAAACCAGAGTCAGTCGCAGGTACATCTTCGAATGGGCCACACGGCCTAAGTGAAAATAAAACCCAAAATGGAAAACCCCAAGATTTCTTGGAGGTTTCCACCATGCACTGCGGAAGCAACCTGTTCTCTCCGGTTTTGCATCATAACATTTGCACTGAAATAGCAAACCTAAAAACAAAGCCAGCTTCCCTCTTGAGCAGTGTTAGCAGCTGCTGCCATGGAAACCTTACCAACATCCTTCCCCATCCACTCCCACACCTTGGTTGTGTGCATGGTTGGTCCGCGGTGCCCAAGGACAGTTGTATGGGATCGTGGCAGCAGAGGTCAGCTGAGAGCTGATTCTGCAGCCTCTCAAGCATCCTTCCATGGCCATAGGAGAACAAAAGTGTAGTCTGTAAAGTCAAAAGAGACTAAAACAGCGATCCATGCTATTCTATGATATTTCTGAGCCATTGATTTGCAGTGAATGGATCGTGCAGAAGAGGGGGCATGTAAAACAGGTCCCACAGGCTTGTGGCCCCTGAGCAATGTAGGGACTGATTGCAAAAGGGTCCTCACAGCTGTGGTCCAAGTGCCAGCAATTGTCCGTGGAAGGAAGATGGGAAATGAGAAGATCACAGCTGGTGCAAACCCCCTGCCATCTCAAGCAAGCAGCTTGAGACAGGGTCTAGCACACAGAGGCCCTCTAGTGCACCCCAGTCTGGTGCCCTCCAGATACTTCGGGCTGTAGCTCCCATAAGCCCTAGTCAGAACAACTGCTAGTCAGGAATTATTCCCACTGCAGCTGGGAATAACGGGTGTTGCAGCTCAACACATCCGGAAGGCCCCAGACTGGGGAGGACTGACCAGGTTCTTCACTGTGGTTGCCTTCCTGTCCTGTTCTCAATTCACCTTCCAGATTTGAACAGAACAGACAGAACCTTGTAGGTGAACCTCAGAAGATTTGCGCTGGCCATGAGCGTAACTAGTGTTTGCTTGCTTTTAGCCTAATACAGCATGGAGAGCACCAGCTGTTTGGACTAGAGAGGATGGAGGTCACACTTCTTATTTTTGAGTCAAGGCAGGAACATCACCTGGCAGGCATAACCCTTGAATTATCCTTGATATGGATTTTATATGGATATTTGTTATGTTATTTTAAATAACTGTAAATCATTCTGAGAACATGTGCTAATAGAATGGTGCATTAAAACTTTAAATAAATAAATAAATCTGGAGCTGCATTTGCCAGGCCTGATAAGATACCCCTACTCCTATCAGTAAATTAAATTCTTTTCTTTGACTTTATTTGCATACTCTTTGAAGCTTTCATATACCCGTACTTACAAAGAAGACAATACCTCTCCCAATTATTCATCAGTATGTAACATTTCTTCTCCATTCTTGCAGAGCTATAAATGCAAATATAATTCATATGTGGTAGGCTTGCCCAAATAGCCACCATTCTGCAAGCTGGTAACAAAAGAGGGACAGATAATCACTGGTGATACTATCCTAGATGATGCTTTGATTATGCTGTTATGGGTCTTTAAAGAGGCAACTAGAACTGAATATTGCAAGTTAGCATAGAATCCATTGGTGGTGGCTAAGCACTGGAAATAATTGGCATTTCCCATGCATGCAACGGACATTTAAAATATGACATATGGCCAGAAGAGCAAAGTTAAAAGAATTTGTACCATTGAGAAATGGGAAAAGGATAAAAAGCAAATTTCAGGAAACACTGACTCTTTAAGATATAGCTCTGCATATTATGGTCTAAACATGAATGCAGTAAACTGCATTATAAGCCATTTGCACTTATTTGAGCCTCACGCTTTCCCAGACTCCGTTGCTGGTCCTGCTGCTTCTGAAACACTATCTTGCTTTCTCTGCATCCTTTAACAGATCCTCAAGCTTTGTCCTAAGAAGAAAAGTTCCTCAACCTACACATTTTGCAAGTCAGTCAGCCTATTAGGAATGCAGTTCCATCTCTTTGAGAATGAATGTAAGTTTGTCAGCATCTCAGTCCTTTGCCAAAGGACAGAGAAGGCTAGGAGCCATCTTGTGATTTCTCACAGAGAAGTCCATAGAAACCTTGTATCAGAAGCAAACTTAGCCCACCCCTTAATGCAAGAATGACTTTAAGGGACAGGATCCAGCTCCAATGGTGAAGCTAATTTTAATAGTACTCTATTGCCCATTGTCCCCATATTCCAGCACTAGACAGTATGTGTGCAGCAGGTACCTGTGACAACCAAAGGTATTCCCATTGTGCATTGTGAAGAAGTGGAGAATATCCAGAACGATCTTGTTGCCCTGATCTTGGCAGTCTTCAGAATTAACCTTAAATATACACAGCTGATTTTGCCTGCTGAAAGCCAGATCCCTCAGGAATGTGAATATTTAATGTGGCTCCAAAAGGTTGTCATCAAAATTGCATCTATCTTTACAAGGCTTCCCACCAAAGCTTTACTTTGGTATAGTTAGACGTGAAGGACAATCCCACCACAGAGTGATCCAAACCCAATAAGCTGGCATCTCAGGCACCCCCAAAAATGTAATTGATAGATAGCCTTACTACATTGACCAGAAAATGCATGAATAAGCCACTAGCAAGTTTATATAATTTAAAAATGTATATAATTCCATCCCAATTTTTTGCCTAGAAATTTTGAGTAGAAAAGGGTAGAAAATGAGCAGTCATAAAATCATAGAATAGTAGAGTTGGAAGGGGCCACGAAGGCCTTCAAGTCCAACCCCCTGTTGTTGCAGGACATCACATTACAACATCCCACTCAGATGGCTGGCCAGTTTCTTTCTGAATGCCTCTAGTGTGGGAGAGCCCACCACCTCTCCAGGCAGCTGGTCCCACTGCTGTATTGCTGTGACAGTAAGGAAGTTTTCCCCGATGTCTAGTATTTATGAACCTCAGATACAGAAGAGAGATAATCCTGGTCTCATGATGACAACCTTTGTTGCTCTTTGGCTGCTATGGGCACCAGTTAAAATGTTACCCAGTTTTAGCGGGCAACAGCAGGGGGCCACATACAGACTGCATGTTGGCCACCCTTGCAGTACTGTCAAGAGGCAAAAGTTTTTCCCCATTTGCCCTTCTACCTTATGGAGTTGCCACATGACCCTTTTAACAAGAAATCCCTGAGACTGGACCTCAGTTCTTCTGCATTCAACAAGTTAGTTCTACCATTTGGCTATGATCCCTCCTCCTAGGATTCCAACCTTTCTAATATGCAAAACACCAGTTTAATGTCTCACCCCCTCTCCTATTCTCCTTCATAGACTACCCCCATGGCATCACCTTGGTGACTCCAGTTTCAGGCTCAGAGAAGAAACAGGTACTCCATTTCTGTGCTCTGGGTGCAGAGGAAATGCAGAAATTTGTGGAAGACCTAAAAGAATCAATAGCAGAGGTGATGGAGCTAGAACAGATTCGAATTGAATGTAAGGCTCCCAGCGTGGTCCAGACTCCTTGCAGTCATTCTGTCTGTATGTACATATGTCTGCATCCTGTGTATTTTTTGTGTCTCTTCTTGGCAGGGGTGCCATTTGTATATCAGTCAGGGGCAGGGGGCACGGCTACTGGTGAAGCTTATATATATATATTTGATATCTGTTCAGTATAGTCCAGTTTAAATTGCCAAAACAGTGCTGTCTTTAAGAAGATTTCTTTGATGCTTCATAGTAACTATAGGAATATTATTAACACTGGATATTTGGGTATCCTTCTTGCCTTTTTCAGCATAATTTTCATTACGATTTGTTATTTAGAACAACTACCAATGTAGATGTAGTGAATTTGCCGGAAACACTGATGTTCCGAAAGAGTAACCATGCAAAGTCTGAACCCCCATGCTCCCACGCCCCAAAATGGCACCCCTGGCTGTGGGGCTGGAGAGGGAGGAAGGAGAATATACCTTTTTTTGGTGGGAAGACATATCTGAAAGGGAGTGTATGAACTGGATTATATTCTTTGTGATTCTGAAGTGTAAATGCAAGAAGCTTGAGGATTTATACACATGAGCACTTTCAATTTGCTTGCCAATGGAGCATATTTCCAGACCAGGCCTTGCTTGTGCAATTGCACTGTCCAGTTTACAGAATTTTCAGGGGCTCCTCCAGATGTCATCATCTTCCATTCATAGCCCTCCCATGTAGCTTCTTCCTTCTCTTTTCTTACCAGAATAAAACAGATAAAGGAAGAAAAGGAGAGCTGTACAGATTTTTTTTGATACAGTACTAGAAGTCCTCCATCTGAAAACACCTGATGTAGCCATCTTGCCCAGGTGGACAAAGTCTGCTTGTTTCCGCTGCATCAGTTTCAGAACATCTTTTGGCATAGGACTGAATTCCTCTTAGATAAGTTTTTGGGGGCTGCATTCCAGTTATGGGTGGGACTGAAAGCAAAAGGGGCAGGACCAAAGGAAAAGAACTGGGTCCAAAAATACCAAGAGCTAGCCTATTTTAGCCTAAAACTCTTGGTGCAAGTATCTATGCCTTAGGCGAGGCATTTCATCCATTTAAAATTGCAATGGCAGGGGAACTGCACAAAAGCTAGGAAACCATCAAATAATCAGTGGCTAAGCAAAAGGGCTGTGACCATCTGGAGAAGCCCAGAGAATCTGACCCTCAGCTCTGAGGTTCTGCACTCATGCCTTGCATTATTCATACTTCCCAGCAGATTCCTCCCAAAGAACTTGTTCATAGCCCACTCCTCCAATTCCTTCTTTCCATCCCTGGTCCTAGGCAACCAGTGGAAGAAGGCCCCATACATCACTATGTTCATACAGAGGAATTCCTGGCAAGCCAAAAGCAATTAATCCATGCATAGGGTTATGAATGGAGAGTGGTGTGGGAACTCAAGGAGGCGGAGCATCAGTGCCTTGTCATTCTGGGTCCTCCATTATTTTGATCAGCAGACACCAGGATAAATACCGTGGCTCATGTCAGCCTTCCCCAAACTGATGGCCTTCAGAGGCATATGGACTGCAACTCCCTGAATTCCCATCTAGCAGTGCCATTGACTGGGAATTCTGGAAGTTGCAGTCCAAATGCCTCTGAAGGCCATCAGTTTGGGGAAGGCTGGCTCATATATGCTGACCACTTTCCTTCAGTCCCTTGGGTGGTCAGCTTTCAGAACTTTTACCGTATATTTGAATGTGCTTATTGTGGCTCATTGGTACAGGCTACAAAATGTGTGCTTCCTTGGCACAGAAAGTGGATACCATGGCTCATTTTCCATGCTTGTGTGTGCACTCATGTTTGTGCATGCTTGTAATATGTAATCTGTGACTGCTACTCATCTGGCTGTCCTCTGTTGCACCTTTCTGTCTCTTCTGCCTCACTTCCGTGTTTTCTTTCCTCTTTCTCCTTTTGAAGTACTTTCCTACTTCTCCCCTGGCCTCTCAACTCTCTTACATTTTTACCATCTTATATCTCAGGGGAGCTGGAGAAGCAGCATGGAGCGAAGAACCTGTCCTTAAGGACTAATGGGGCTCAGATGGAAATGCAGTCCAAGCAAGGATCTCCAACAGGTTAGAGACTTTCTGGACAATTCTTCTCTTACCCAGATGTTTAGTTAGCCCTATGAGGTTTGGAGGGTTAAATTGCATGCTCTGTTTAAGCATGACCATGACTTTGATCATGGAGCTGATCCTAACTTTGCTTTATTTTATTGTAAAAGTTTTAAATATGTATTTTGATTATCAACTTTGACAATACCAAACCATAAAAACAGAAAGAAAGGAAAGACTATAACTATATAGATTTGACTTTATTAATTTTATATGAGCTTCAGTATCTATTCAAGAGTGTTGCCTATATGACATCTGTTCAAATGCTAGTAGTATTGTTTGCTTTAATCCTTTGCTTTATAAGACATGAGCATTTTTCATTTCAGTTTTGTAATATCAGCCTTTTAGTTGTCAAAAGGATGTGGAAAATCCATTTATGTTGACCATGCATTAATTTCCAAGAAGTGGGTAGATAATTTAAAAGAATTATATTAATATTGAAGTAGGTTCCAATAGAAATTTTATTCATATTATAACCTCCGCCCAAGAAAAAGCAGCTGCTAGACTTTGCCAAAACATATGATCAATGAACTGATAGTCTTACACTTCCATTTCTTAACCAACTCAGACAAATCCTTATTAAATTGATGTGCAAACCAATAGATATGGAGAAAACATAACCTGAGATGCATCAAAGTTTCAGATATAGACAATAAAGTAACAATCCATTCATTAGACTACGTAACTAGGACAATCCAATTCCTTATTCCATTCCTGCTGAAGACCTTGTATATCATATTTATTTAAATATTTTTAAACATGGGCTGTAAGCTAATTTTTACTGATCAGCCTCAAACAGTATTTTTAACAGTGGAAGAGGCCATGAAATGTAAAAGCTACAAGGTCAAGCCTAGATTCTAATAATTCCTGCAGTCATAATTATTACTGTTCAGCAATGTCAGGCAAATGGTTTTTGGCATGCAAAAATGGCAGAAATTCATCAACAACCCTCACTAATCAATCCAAGGTAAAAATCAACTGATCAAATCAAAAAAATATTTTCCTACCTATTTTTAAATCTTAAATTTTTAGGATTACACCATGAAGTTAATTTGGATCAGACCACTGCAGCTGTGTAGGGGAGGATAAACCTTCCCATCTGCCTACTTTTCCCCTAATAAACCCCCCACAGCACAGCAGCTAATAGGAGAGACCCTTACATTGGTGTAGAGATCCGGGTAGTAGGTAACATATTTTCAGTTTACAGGAATAATCCTGTAAAATTGATTGTTGAAACATTCCTCAATAAAAGCTATTGGGAACGTTTGTTTTGCTGTTGTTAGAGTCCTTGAATTTACCAAAGAATATATTCCATGGGGCCATACTTGAATTATAATCCCTGCCAAAACTTTCCCCAGAGTGTGCAGCTTTCCATGTGTGCAACCTCTAGAAACTCCTGACAGAAAAGGTCTGTTTTATTTTCAAAGGCAAAAAAGAATTGGGAGAAAAGGTCCCGGATAACACAGTGGAGGTAAGTAGAATGCGCAGCAGCTGAGGTAAGTAATTCTCCCTCAGTTCAGCTCTTCTTACATTCTCTGTTGTTTCTTTTCTCAGGTTTTAATCAATGCCTCCCCAGCCAGACTGACAATTTTACCAATTTCCAGAGATACAATAAAAAGTTACTGCTAGGACGGGTAATACAACTTTCAAATCCAGATTAAACTTCAAAGCATTTTTTTCAAGCCGTTTCTATAACTGTTAACACATCCTTCATGGAGCGAGCGCCCGAACTCTGGAGATTAACCTGCTCCTTCCTCATCCCCACCCCAACACACTTTCAGGAGAAATCAGAGACGCAGCTGAGATGAGCTCCCTGGGCAGATCACCGCCATCGCAGAACCCTCTGCTAAAACTCACCGCTATGATCTTTCCCCTCATAGGCTCTTCTGCCCTAGACACTGCACCCCTGTCAAGGCTTTGAACATACTCATGGGGACCCTGCACAGGGTGGGGGCTTAGGCCAAACATTGCCCAAGATAGGAAGGGGCGTTGGAGACCTCTATGGCCTGCCTTTATTTGGGAAACGGGACTCTCTTCTAGGGATCACAGCTCACTAGAAAACTCTCATTTGGGAGAGACCTCCAGAATACATCATCTGCCCTGGCTTCGAGCTTTCCCCCAAGTCCTCTTTCACTTGACAGAGATCTCCAATCTCCATCTCCCTGCAGGTGTTGCTTTCCATGGGGTCAGGAGCCCAAGTTCTCCATCAACATTCATTTGTGCAATCAGCCTCCATTCCAAGACTGGCAACCAGCAATGCCCTCACTCTTTTTCTCACTGCTTGGGCCTCCACTCTCAGGCCATGCTGCCCCTCTTTTGGTACCCAGTCTGGGAGGAACACCAAGCCCCAGCTCATCCCTCAGTCCTCAGCCCCTGCCCATGATAAACTGGTTTGGTAAAAGCACACTCATTATCTCACCAACTCTTCTGCTAACAGGAAGAGACATCTTCATGGCCTCATACACACCTTCTGGGCCTGCACAGGCATTTCTTCATAAAGATATGTTTTTCACTTCCAGATACAGAATTCTAAGGAGGCAGTTCACACAGAACTGTGCCTCGAGGTAATTTCAGAGTCCAAGAGGCAGGAACGCCACTTCAGTCCTTAGTCCCTGACCGAAAAGCCCCTTCTCTTCACGTTGCCCCTTGCTCTCTGCTGCCCAGTCCTCAGTTTCCTGGGAACAACACCCTTCTGGAACTCTTTATTTATAGGAGCGTTGTGCATTGTTCCAAAGATATCCCCTTCTATAGCAAACTCCATTCCATCTTAGTTCCTGTTTTCAGAATGAGATTGGGAAATCCTCTGAGCTTTCTCACTGAAGACACTTCAAGCCCTTCTTCCTCCCCTCTCCCTCCTCTTACTCCTCAGCAGAAGCAAACATCTCCATTTTCTCTGAGATTACCTGATCTGCTGTCATTTCATCAGATTTTTTTATATCATTGAACAAGCTGGATGGGTACTTTTTGCTTTTCCTTTTTTGGCATATGTAAACTCATTTCCTTTCACTTGCAAACCATCGAGTGAATCAGAACGAGCTGCAAGTTTGCTGAACAATGTCAGATCTCTGCTTGGTTTTTTTCCTTTTTAATTTTCTCTTTTTGTAAACAGATTAGTGAGTCATGTATGCACCTTCCTGCTCAGAAAGACAGGAGCTGGGAAGAGCTCAGGTCTTTCTTTGAGCATCAGCAAAATCCATTTCTCCCCTCCCTGCAAAGATGTGCAACCTCAATTATCCTTCCTCCCCACTTTGCCTTAGCTGGCCTGTGGATATGATGATACAGGCAGGGGCTTCGTAAGAGCACCAATCACAGAGCACAGCTCCCCTGAAAAGCAAATTGTGTCATTATCAAGCCAAAAGAATAGGGAAGTCTTTTTCTCCCAATTGCTTTCCCTCTAAGTAAAAGACAGCAGGGGATGGGATGTAACTCAAAAGAACAAGCGGAACAATAAGGTGGTTCTTGCTGGTGTGAGAGGCGGTGGACCTCTGCCTGCCTCTTGGTCGGTTAAAGCCTCTCTCTGGCCTGCTTTAAAAGCTGCATTTGCTCAGTTTGGATAGTTGAGGTTGTGCTGTACGTAGAAACTGCATTGCTGCCTTTGCTATAATGGGATTCTTTTTATTTCTAGAAGGAACTTTCAGGGTCAATGCCCATAGACGTGCTGGGGAAAGGGGTTTGGCAGGAACCTGGGTTGCTGGGGGTGGGTGGGGGAGATTCAGGGGATGGCATTTAAGGTGGGCTGTGGTTTGGAGGAACGAGTGGCGGATGGAGGGTGGGCAGGTGAAGGGCAGCCCACAGCAGCAAATGGGAAGAAGTCTTGTAACATTTAATGCTTCTTTGACTGTTTCTAAACTAGGTGTCAATTCACAACAGGCTTCAAACGTACCAGCACAACTCGGTCCCGGGACTCGAGAGTGGAATGCAGCCCAGCACGCTTCCTAACGTGCCGCGGGAGAGGCTGGAGTCCGCCCTGGTGCCCTCTTACCCTGCCTCGGCAGGGACACTTGTACAGTGCCAGCAGATTGTCAAAGTGATCGTCCTGGACAAGCCGTGCCTCGCTCGCATGGAGCCGGCCCTCAACCAGACTCTGACGCGTTACGTGTCCTCTGATTCTTGCAGCTCCACCCCCTTGCACGGCCTAGGCAGCGGGCTCCAAGGGACCCCGGTGAAAATCATCCATCAGCCCCCACTTCCGCCTCCGCCGCCACCTTACAACCACCCCCACCAGACCTGCCCCCCCAGCTCCCTGCTTCAGAGACGCAGGCACTCCAGCGGTTCACGCAGTCTAGTGTAGCAGCCCTACCTGCACCAGCCAAACACAGCACAGACTCACCCAGGACCCTTTTCTGTCTTCAAAGAAAAATCTAGTTTGTGATTTATTTTTTAGTAAAACAAAACAAAAAAGAGAAAGGAGGAGTGAGAGAAATGCAAGAACCTAGCCACACTAAAAAGAGAAATTGCAGTATGTCCAATGAACACACCTGACTCCTTGTCACCTCTCCCCACATGCTAATGTTTGGGAGGAGCCCTACCTGCAGACACTGGCTGAGAGCTTCAGGAAATGGTTCTCGGCCCACCTTCCAGCCTTTGACGTTCACAGATGCACCGTCCTCCTTCCTGCTGCCTGTAGGAGCATCCTGCTGCCCTGCTTCTGATGAGCTCTACGGCCCTCGGCTTTCTTTGCTTTCTGTCTTCTGTTCTCTCTCTTTCTGTCTCCTATGGCTTTACGTCTGAAGCTTCCCTGTTTTCCCATTACCAAATTTCACAGGTTTCTGACCAAAACCAGACTTGACTTACCTTTCGGGGGCATTAGTCCATCCTGTTGGTGCCGAGGAGTTGCCGTCACTGTCACCGCTGCTGCTGCCACTACAGCTTGCTATGCCGGAGCTGAAAATACTCATCGCGCTTAGTTCTCATTGCCTTTTGGAGCATCATGTTCTCTCGCTGAGAGTGGAATGGAAGAGAAGGAGAACGTAGAAGACAGAGAGAGCTGCTCTCCACCCCAGCCTGCAGCTGAACACAAAGACAAGCCTCACTCTGGGCATCAAAACCCTTCTGCATTGTAACGGGAAAGCTTTGCTGGACACCAGCAGGAATGCACTACTTGTAAATACAACACCTTTGTGGTTGAATGTGTGTGGATCCTGCCCACTGAAAGAAAAACCAGCCCATTCTGGGGAAGTCAGGGGAAAGCAAGAGATCTGATCTAGAAATCTTCCTGGCATGGCCAGTTGCTTAACAATACTGCAACCGTGTCCCTTTGCTGTCTGCTTCTTTTAGTGTGCAATCCTATGCAAGTTTAAGCAGAAAAAGCCCCACAACCACCAGCTTTCCGCATCCAGCAATGCAGTGAGTTGTAGGACATTTTTCCATCCAAACATGCATTGGGTTGCATCCTTAGACATTGCTTTTTATTTCGGTCTGCTGATCACATGCCCCTCACCCACATGGCAGCTCACTATGCAGAATCGGGACTGATTTGACAAGAGGGAGGAGACTGGAGGTGCTTGGAAAGGCCTTCCGTATCCTCCCGGCCAACGCCTGTGCTTCCTTTACACAGAGCCTCTATCTCTAGTGCACAGTGTTTGGGATCTGTATTAACTGGACCTTCTATGATCCCAGGGAAGGCACAGCAGCAGGGTGTGGGAGAAGGAAGGTGGTCACGGCGTCCCTTCTAGTGCCATGCTGGAAGTGTGCACCATTCAAAATCTGTCCCACATTCACTTTCCCCGCAGCCTCCCTCTTATTATTCTGAGCTTGCTGTACTAAAGCGTTAGTTTCTCAGAGGTTTACTTAGAGACATCGCCTGAGGTCAGTGACATGTTACATAGGCATGGAAGCAAACCACCTCGGGTCAGCTTCCACGCCATTTTGTGTTCTTGCATTGAGTTCTGGTCTTCACCTGCCTTAGCGTTTGCAAGAGAATGGAGAGAAATGAAATGTTGTTTGCGATGGTGAAAGCAGGAGGAGGCAAGGAGCACCTCACGATTGAAAGTCTTCTATTTGTACTTTTGCTTTTACGAACACACATCCATTCTGATGGATGAATTATGTGAATTAAGGGGATTCTGCCTGAGGGTAGCCAATCATGTAAGCACAAGCTCTTCACAGACTGAGTGGGCTGCTCTTCGCTTCCTTCTCTCGCTGCAACAACTCCCCTTCCCCACCACAGCCCCAAAATGGCAAGGTGTGGGGAAATCTCCAAGAAGAGGAGGTGAAAGCAGAGCTCAGCTTCTCTTACTGGAGATGCTGACGTGCAGAAAGATGGTATTAAAATGGGCTATGGCTGTATTTTTAGAAAAAATATCTTCCCCACGCATGAGGGAGGAGCAGTATTAATTAGCTTAAGGGCTTTGCTCTTGCTCACCCTATCTCCCTTTGAGGCTTAAGAAGATCAACTGTAGGATTTGGAAATAGGACAGAACAAGTTTTAAGGCTCTTATTTATTTATTTTTAAAGATGTGTGTGTGTGCGTGTGCATCTGTGTGCGTGTGCGCGTGCATGACAGAGAAAGAAAGAGTCGGCTTTTCATGCAAAGCAGAAAGACAGGAAGCAATTATTCTGTTGTTTTCCACTGGTATGCCCAGGGCTGTTACAATAGATCATAGAATCATAGAATAGTAGAATTGGAAGGGGCCATGAAGGTCACCAGGTGCAGCCCTTGCTGTTGCAGGACACAAGGCTACACCATCCCACTCAGATGACTTTCCGGTTCACCCTTGAATGTCTCTAGCGCAGGAGAGCCCACCACCTCTCTAGGCAGCTGGTTCCACAATCGCATTGCTCTGACAGTGAGGAAACTGGAGAGTGGCGGATACGGATCAATCATGTTAATAGCACCGGATATAGTCTGTGACTCTTAGGGTGCTCCCAGTTCAGGTTTTATTCTGCAACCATCCTGCCTCGTTCATGGAACTGCATAGGAAAACTTGATGTTGACATCTTCCAGTCATAACCCTTCCGTGACTTTCCACTGCTTCTTGGCCATTCTCTCTCTTTCTTCACACAGAAAATTCATTAAGGAGGGAAAGACAGAATAACTGAACAAAATTTCTGATGGGTAGTGCTTGGACTCTTCCATCTGAAAGTACCTTTAAACTCAGGAGGTGGCTAGCTGCACCTTTGCCATGCTGGGCCTTTTGTTTCAGTGGAGGAAGAAGGCAAAAGCAGGTTTTGTATCACACTGAGTTTTAGAGCCTTTAAAATGGCCAGTGTACTCTGGCTCTGGTCACCAAAAGGGAGGAGGGGAAACCTTGCAAAATACAACACTCTCCCATAGCTTTATTTGCCTTTCTGTGCAGGGTGAAGGAGCCCCTCCCCTCCCCTCCCCTCCCCTCCCCTCCCCTCCCAGCACACACTTAGCTAGGGGCCCATGCCTGTGCCTGGCCCCATTGAGAGAGCTCACGGCATCCCTGGCAGGGACTGCTTTGGACACCTCCTGCTCTGGAAAGCCTGCCTGTTTCTACACAGTGCATTAGTTAAAGCACGGATGGATTGGTGTGTTTAGATAAATAAATTAGAGTTTACTTGACATTTAACACAAAGCAGCCACAAAAACCTTAAAGTATCTGATGAAATCGTTGTTTTTGGATGAAATATTTATGACAGTATATGAAGTTCCTAGAAGAGTGAGAGATCAGGCTTATTAATAATAGATTTAGGATGATGAGGAGGTATTCATCATGGAAGTTATTTTGCCTGGGATGCCAGTCTCTTCTTTTGTTTGGCCTGGTTTCTAAAAGGCTGGGGCTCAGGAGTCAGGGTCCAGGGCTGGGATGTGGACAGGAGGAGACAAGACGGAGGCACCAGGACCAGACCATCAGAACTTGAGGCAAGACAGAGCCCAAGGTCAAGAAACAAGGTTTAATGACAAGTCCAAGTCATAGTCACAGAGTAGGCCAGGGTCATGAACCAGAAGTATGTGTCAGGACATAGAAACATAGAAACAGAGCAAGTCAGAAGGGCCTCCCGGGCCATCTAGTCTGACCCCCGGCTCCAGCCGGCTCTGCTCACGACTTGCCCATGTGCATGTCATGGACAGAACATGCAGATGGCTGCAAACAAATCGCAGGTCAAGAACTACCCAGAGAACTGTTATTGGGCAATATAGAAATACAGTTGCTGTTATTGTTGTTAACAATAGTTGTATTGCTATGATGATCAATTCGTACATCAATCCTGAAGCCCATTCTTTGCCCCCATTTACAAGTGTTTGCAGTCAACATCTGTGGAATGCTAGGAATTGTTTTCTGCTAAAGCCCCTTTCTGGCATGTGCCTGCTCATGTGTAAGGCTAAACTGGATATGGGGATGTGGGTGTGCACTGAAACCCTGCTTCCCACATTCTTTTGTACCCGCCTTCTGTGGAAGAAGAGCCAGCAAACACATTCAGCTGAATACCCAGAGTGCTTCCAGTCCTGGATCCTGACAAGGCAGAACTCATGATGCTGGGAATTCTGCAAATTATTTCAGTTGTGGGGAGAAAAGCCAGAATATCATTGTGCATGAACCTATGGATCAATGACTTACTTTGCGCAGTATCTCCTGCTTTAAATATTTTAAGGCTGGAATCCTACAGTGGGAGCAATAGAAGTGCAGTCTAATTTAAGCATTTAGTTGAGCGGCCACCAGTTATATCCTGTTGTGTTTATTGGTAAACACAAACTTTACAGGCAGTTCTTAGGCCCAGGCAGATAGAGGTATGAAGAAGAGAGTGGCTACCACAGTATAAACTGGTGGGTTAATATCTGGCCAACCCAGCAACATAATAAAACTAACGACGCTCCATGTATTCCCCAATGAGCAGTAATTGCTAGGTTGCCCATGTTCCAGGACTGGTGTTTGGCATACAACCCTCTTCAGGCTACAGGTTCTAACAAATCCTAACTGTAGAAGAGAGGTGGGAATGCACCTATCCCACCCCTCCACATCTGACTTTACTCCTCATGTGGACAGGGCAGGTCTGTAAAGAAACCTGAACCCACACACTAAGCAGTTTTGGCCAACCCCCTTTTTGCTGCAGACCTTCCCTGTTAATAGAGGGAGATGATCTCCCCATTTCTCTGTCATGGTTGGGTCCAGATAATCCCTGGGAAGGGCAATTAAGTATGGCTTCGGAAAGACCTGATATGCACTGGAACCTGCATGGCCCTGTATCCACGCATCTGCTTTATGCTTAGTAAAAAATGTCATGGCTGTTTAATCTTTTGAGTATAGAACTGTACTTTTCTTGGGAGTCTTTATCTTTTCTAAAACCGTAGGAAACTGTTCAGTTGAGGTCGATGTTGAAAGGACTCCGTGTGCCTTGTCAATCAGATAGCATAGTAGAGTCAGACTAGCGCCCTGCTAGGTCTGACTCTTAGATCATACTCAGGTTGCCTCCAGACAGAGGACTCCTAGTGCTACCAGTCAAAAGACACTGCACTGCTCTTCCATTTTCCCTTCTATAATGGATCTTCTGTGGGAAGGAGAAAGACTGAAGGAGTGCTGCAAAAGCAGGAGAGGCTTACTAATGGAAGATGATATCCGAAGCACTATAAGATGCTGTGAACAGAGCAGGGAGCCTTGCTCATGACCCCAGGTCATGTGAGGAGAGGTCTGCTCACACAGTTGGGCTTCCCACTCTTTCATCTGTGACCCCCAGAATTCTCTTACTTTGCTCTGGTGGGTTCTCCAGTCCTCTGGAGCAGATGGATGCCAGGAACTGTGGGATGGAATTTGTGCTTTCAGCTATTTCCCTTCCAGAACACCACCACTGGATCCAGTCTAGAAGCATCACCAATTTAACCTCTAGCTTTGTGCAGTTAGACGGATGGCAAATTAAAACCTATTAAATTGGTGGTGAATCTCAAGGCCTGCTGTGCCACTTGCTATGTGTGATGATGTTGCCCAAAGCAATTCACAGATACAGGTGATGGTGTTTTTCCGGGGATGAGAGCAGCAGGG